CGACCTTGGGCAGGGTAAAGTTAACAGGATTCTTCGCGTACAGTTCTTCTTTCTCACGCCCATAACATTTAGCAACCCACACTTTGCAGTGAGCCCTCGCAGTCTTGCTGCCCATTGTGAATACGTTTCACCAACTTGTTGAATGGTGGTGTAAAAGTTGTGACCATCTCCGAACCAGCCGCTCTTCGGTGTGAAATGAGAATCCAAGAGTGCAAGTAAATCTTCATATGGCACTTAATCAACGTCTTTTGGCAATGCCAAGTCCGTTGTAAACTGATACGTGCCCTCCGTGAGTGCGCTGAGCTAGATCGCCTTCCTCTTTTTGCCCGCGGGATCTGTCCACTTCTTGATGTCGTTTGCGATAAAGTACTGTCTAATACGACCTTTGTACGTTTCACATGTCTACACTTTGGGATCAAATCTATTTAGAATTCCAAATTTAACACTTGGCTGAGACATCGTCAATAATTTTTTTATATTTAAATTTGCGGGTAGATCGTCGCCACTATTAGATATTGGGACGGACAAGTGATACGATTGCTGGTTAGTGGTTACTGTTTATTGCTCACACAATAATTAGCGGTGGGCGCAGCCACGCACACATACCCAACATTATGCACATTTGAAAGTCTTGACCTCGTGCTTGTTGCCCCGTCCGTCCAAAGTACATAGTTTACGTAATTAGGGTTTTCCTCAAACTGCCTGAGGTACACTCGCAGAAGTTCCTCCTGGGTGCAAAATCGGAGCGTATCAGCTCCTGTGTACGGCAATGGTGATAAGGGTGACGATTATCGTCACGAAGAATTCGCCAAACTGCAACATGGTTTATCCCGTATTTTATTCCGGCTTGCCTCGTACTTGTAGTCGGCTCTTCTTCAAAATGCTTTAAAACTTATTCACAACACAAATTCTAAAAGAAAAAAAGATCTAAGGTCCGCCATTTCCGGAAATGACGACCTAGGACGAACTCGAAAGCAAGCTATACATCTCTGCACCCGATTGCGAATTAAGTTACGTGCAGAAAGAATCCAGTAATTCTGCCGCAAAATAGACACTAAGTACTCAGGGTCAGCGTGACAATTCAATTTATGGTGGTAATCAACTAATAAATTCAAAATATGATCTTTACGCGGTAAAAGTATAGGGTGTCGTTGTAGTAGTAAACTCAAATGTGAGTTGAACAAGCGCCTACAAATCTTGCCCGATTGTAATCTTGTAATTTCATCGGCAAAGTGCACATTTTGAAGCTAACGAAATATTAATAAATCGTCATAACTATAATCGGACGCAACAATATACGGACGTCGCGGTAGAAGCTTTACAAATCGATAATGTAAATCATGCTACGCAATATAACCTATTACATTTTATATGAAACACTAACAAGCTAAATATTAATTTATAATTATACTAGAGATAAGCGAATATTTAAATCACACAAACTATATTATCGTAAATATGCAACATCTAGAACGAGTCGGAAGTACTAATAACTATAAGTGGTGAAGTTATGCGACGAACGTTTTGGAATAACATCGCTTATGGACTGTTGCTCGCGGAGCTTACTTACTTCTTTCGATAAAGCGGATAGGTCTGCTTGCAGCTTGACCTCCCTCCCTCGTAAGTGCTTTATCTCGCTCCGCCAAGCAAGATTGACCTCAACAGGTCTATCCCGTCGCCTCTAAGCCGGCACGCTTTCTGCTGCAGCGGCTCGGTGTCTCCATGCGCCGTGGCCGCGACCCTGCTCCGTGCCACGCGCGGTTCCGCTGCCGACATCAATTTGAGTCTCGGGTCGCGGAACACATACACTGAATACGTCACCTGACGGGTCACGGGGTGATCTAACTTTGTAAATTTGGGCCTTCTTCGCGGTATCTATAAACCTAGCTTCAGTACTGTCCCTATTCGGCGTTCCCTTCGGCTGTGATGAAACTCCTACATGTTCTATTATTGTTTTGTTTTAAGACTACTGGCATAATCTATTATCTAAACAAACAAATATTAAAATATTGTCTAAAAAGTGTTGGTAAGATGTTCCCTCCCTCCAATTCCCGAAATTCCGAGGTTCAATAGCGGTGCTACAATGAGAAATTGCCGAAATATTATGAACTGTGAGAAAGGAACCAACAATAACGTAACCTAAAACGGTCTCTAATGCGTAAGGTACGGTATACGAGGAGTTACTCTGATCTTAATGTGTAGCAAAAGTTAGTTAGTTAAAGTTACAGCCTATATACACGTCCCACTGCTGGGCACAGGCCTCCCTACAGTACTGAGAGGGTTCTTTTGTGTAGCAAAAGGTGAAAGAAAATAGATGCCCTGATGGCTGTCATTCTCATTGCCAATCTATATTCAAAGGCATATTCCGATTGTTACCGACGCTCACGTTGCTTCTCGGATATCTGAAATACAAATAATATTAATTAATAAAACATAGTATATGTAAAATATATACACATAAGAAATTGTTACTTACCTTTTGTACTTGTTGTTTTTCTATAATAAATAGGTACGTATGCATACGGGGACGGTGGCACTTACCGCGATTTTTATTGTAGGATGAAGGTATATTTTGCAACATCGGTGTTGCCCCGCGGAGTTCATGATCCCGCGCTTAGTTGCACTAGAACATCATACGGGGTGACACCTATGTCTCCCTCCATGCCACACCACCGAGGTTGTATGAGTTACCGAAGATACACATACCAAACGGTCCACTACGTCCCATATTGAGACAGATCTATCCACCGACTTATAAGCTAGCACAACATTTGGCAAAAATACTTTCATGACATGCCAGAGCACGCACAAAGGATTCACACCATTTTGTTAGTGAGATAAAAGACCTACATCTCGCTGACAATGAAACTAGGGTCAGTTTTGATGTTCAGTCACTATTTATATGCCCACCTATTATTACTAAGAAGCTAGAAGATAACAATATGCCTGCAGAATATGCAGTATTACGCAAACACTGCCTCTGTGGAAGGAGGAGCTCTACAACCAAATAGTGTCTTACCTGGATTGAAGAGCACCTCCCGCCCTCCCTCAATTGCATGCATCAACTCCGTTACCACTAGTCCCAGCCTCACTACTCCCAACACTACTATTCCTAATTTTTTTTTAAATAATTATTTAGCTTTCCTAGTTGTTTAGTCATCCGTTATTATGATATGATATATATGAGCGACTGCCTCGTTGGTCTAGAGGTTGTAGTAAGTAATGCATCTCCTGATCATGAGGTCCTGGGTTCGAATCCCGGGTCGGGCCAACAATAATTGAGTTTTTGCGTCAAGAAATTCTCAGTGGCGGTGTATATATCGAATTCGTAAAAATAACCCGTGCTACTATCACATCTATACCATACTTTATAGCCGCGTTTTACCGGCTTCATCGGCATATATTGCTTCAAGGATGATCTACTCTTGAATATTATCATCGATTCATCTATGCTCTCGGATGATGTATTTTTCGCCGCTGCTTGACAAGAATCAAGGGCGTACTTTGTATAGTTTATCAAACGTTTCTTCACTTCTCTGGGGCTGTTTAGAATTGTCATTCAAATGTAATATGCGTAGCAATGCCTTGAATATCTTTATTGGCATTACATTGGCGATTTCATCAACCCTGAACCCCGGATCCGATGACCAATAAAGATTATAGTCTGGTACATGATAACTCATCATTATAAGAATGCCTAAAAATGCCTGTATTTCAGGCTTTGAAGTTGGTGACCATGTCCGAATATTTTGCTATTGGGCATATAGATTTGTCTGCTCAATTATGAGGTTATAAACTTCATTAGTAAAAAACTTTTCAAAGTATACTAAAGGCCTGCTGTTGTAAGATATTGGACTATGAGGTGCTAAAGTTGTTTTGTCAAATACTGAATAGTGCGGCATGTTTCCATTAGACCACATCGCTTTATTTCATGAACCTTTGATTCAGATTCTTTAGAGCTTTCTTCTATTATCTCATTTGAAGAAACTCCAGATCTACTACAGTTCGGTTGACCAACAGATATTTCCATTTGTGGATTTTTTTTTGTGGACATTTGAAAATACTCAATTGAAGTGTTTTGAATTTGTGACTCAATATTATCTGTATCTGGTTGTGGAAACTCCTTTGTCACTGGTGATAGAATTTTGGATTTTGGAATTTTGTATTACTACTTAAGATAGATTGCCTTCTGAATCCACCAAAAATTTTTTGAGTTTTTCCACACTATACTCCTCACCATGTTCGTCAGACTGATATACATCTTCGGAATTCGCTGGATCATCAGGCAAGCAACAACTAATAATTCCAGCTCTTTCGCAATCTCTTCATCTAGCAACAGTCTCCGTGACATTTTCAGAATTCGGAAATAAATTCATATTATGTACATGACGATGAGTAGGTATGGCTAACCGGGCAAGGGGAAATATATTCCCACCGATTCTTAGACATATTACTCTAACGACGAACATTGAAATTGAAAAATATGAATAATTTTAAGAAAACGATACACATTTCTATGAAATAAAAGTAAATTTACACAATAATACCTAGTTTTCTGAAAGATTTATTGAGATTAGTTACAATATCTCAAAAATTACCTTTTTCGCAATCTTTTGAAGCTACAATCGAAAAACAAAAATAACTGTCGGCTGTCACTTCTCAAAATTTGTTTCTTGTCAGAGAACGCGGGAACCGTGAAACGTGATAGACGCCTTTTTTAAATTAAAATTTTAATTTTGTTTTGTTTAGTTAAAAGGCACTAAATTTTTATTGTTTTATTGTTACTGGGTATCCTCATCATGAGGAAACGTGGGAAAAAATGGTTGCCGAGAGAAGAAGAAGTCTTTGAAGAAACGACTGAATACAAAATGAAGGCATCTATACCAGCTGTAGGGACAGAAATAACAGGATTCATAACTAATGTTCCCACTAATCTTTCTAATTCAAGAATTTTTGGTATGTTAACGACTTACAGGAAGATAATATGTGTTAAAAGGATAATGAGGAAACTTAAGAATGATGCAGGACGCAGTTTGATACAGCCGACGGGCACCGTGGCCATCACGTTCGCTTCTAATGTTTTGCCAGACCACGCTTCATGGTTGGCGGTTCGTGGTAAATCAGTATATTACGCCAGTGACGAAGTGCTAAAACTGTCTGAGGTATGGCCACTTAGCAAAGTACTGTAAAAATTCTGTGAAATGCTCAATCACAGCTACAAAGATTGTCAAGTCTCTTCAGATAAAGCGAAACGTATACATTGCAAAGGAAATCATCTAAGCATTTCTGGACAGTGTTCTGTCAAGAAACAAAAGATAAAAGAAAATCAGACTAAATTACATAAAACCCAGTTTGTAGATCTTTTTAATAAAAACTATTTCCCCGAATTAAACAAAAAAAAACCCTAAAGGTGCTCTTATGTCACTGCTAAAGAATGATGACATTATCAATATAATTTTAAATACAGTCATTAAAATATTAACTCTTAATAAATCAAACGAACAAACCACCATATCTTCTCAGCTTGTTAAAAATGTTCTCATGACACAATGAAACCAAAATAAATATTTCATTATTTAGCATTTAATATTTTATGGATCAGTTTAACATTTTACAATGGAATGCACAGAGTTTAATTAAAATTGCTTTTAATTTACACAATTTTTATATGAGAACACTATAGACGTTACTCTTATATGTGAAACTTGGCTTAAACCTAGGCACAATTTTAGAGTAAAAGGTTATAATATTATACGATTAGATTCAGATAATGATCATAATGGAGTAGCAATACTTCTACATAACAAAATTGTATTTCTTGTTATCAATACATTCTCTGATGACTCATTACAAAATATAGCTGTACAAATACAATATAATAATAAATTACGAACTTTAGTTAGTGTTTACTGCCCTCCTAATTCATCAATTAATTACAATAAATTCAAATTAGATAATTTAATCAAAAATTTGCCACAGCCAGTCTTTACAGCTGGTGATATCAACGCCCATCATACGTTATGGGGATGTACTGAATTGGATTCACGAGGTAGGGACGTTCTTGCAAGTATAGATGACAACAATCTTGTAATCTTGAATGATGGTCAGATGACTACAGTAGGATCTCACAGATGAAAACAGAATGCATTAGACTTGACACTTGTCTCATCTTCACTGGCTCTGTCTTATGAGTGACAAGTATGTGATGATGATTCTCTAGGTAGCTTTCATTTTCCTGTAAAGACGAAAATTACGATCAATAATCAAACTTTTCAAGAAACAGCTGTATCAAATAACATAAACTTAAAATTGGTAGATTGGTCAAAATATCCAAAATTAATAGATTACTTAATTAAAAATTATAATTTTGATTGTAGTAACCCATAATGTTATACAGATCTAATAGAACTAGTTAAACAAACCATGCATGAATCCACACCATCCAATCAGTCTTTAAATCGAATGTTAACATAAACTTGCAATCTCTTAAAAGAAATAAAAAAATCTCTACCTTGGTGGAATTTAAAATGCTAAGAGGCAGTATTAAATTTTAAAAATGCATATTTAGTATTTAAGAATGATCCCACAGATCGAAATTATGTTAATTTTAAAAGACTACAAGCTGATAATAAAATTACTTTGAAGACTGAAAGCAGCTCAGCTGGAAAGCACTACGTGAAACATTTAATAGATATACTCCATTGACTAGAGTATGGAATTACATTAAAAAGGTTAACAAAACTTTTGTACATAATAACACATCAGTCATAGATTCCAATTGGGCTAATGATTTTTTTTTTAAATATACTCCAGAAACGGATGAATCACCTCTAACTCCTCACTCCTCAAACGATAATCATTGTGAATATCTTACCAAACCTTTTACCTTTATCGAATTCAATTCAGCTGTTAATTATACAAAGGACACTACTTGTGGTTTAGATTCTGTCCCATATAAAGCTTTAAAAAATATGAATACTGCGTGTAGAAAACTAGTTTTTAAAATATATAATATTATTTAACTTATTCCTAACGATTGGAAAGAAGATGGTTTGATACCTATTTTAAAGCCTGGAAAAAACCCATATTGAAGAATCATACAGACTTATTGCACTTACATCTTGTATAGGAAAACATTTGAGCAACTTATAAAATCTAGATTAGAATTTTATCTAGAAAAAAATTGTCTTTTACCATCAAATCAATTTGGATTCAGACGCTGCAAGTCATCTAAAGAAAGTATTGCATTTCTTCATTTAGAGATCTTTAAAGCTATGGAAAATAGTGAAGTATTAGTTAGTATATTCCTTGACATTGTTGGTGCATTTAATAACGTTAATCTTCAGGTACTCGTCGGAGAGATGAGGTCTTTGGGCATTCCTGAAAAAATTATACAATGGATATTTAACTTTTTACATGAAAGAAGAGTTTTTGCTAAAGTTAATAATAATAATATAATTATTGGTCGCAGGTTCAGTTATAAAGGTGTTTGTCAAGGAGGAATATTAAGTCCTCTTGTCTTTATTTTATACATATTTAAATTAAACAATATTTTAGGATCAATTGTTACTAATTTACAATATGCAGATGATTTGGTCATATATGCCTCAGGAACAAATGTCAAACATTTGGTAATCATTTAAATGAGGCTTTAAAGAAATTGTACATTTACTTTTCACACTTAAATTTAGATATTAGTACTGAAAAAAGTAAAGTTGTAATATTTAATAAAATTCGTCCATATAATACTAGAATAATTTATAATAATACATTATTACCAATAACTACCATTAAATACCTAATATTACCAATAAAACAAGTAACTTATCTTGGACCAAATACGTGAATTTTATTTCAAACAGAGATTCTAAGGCTTTTAATGTATTAAAAGCTTTGGTTAGTACTAACTGGGGAGCTGATCCAGAAATATTAATAATGTTATATAAATCTTTGGTGAGGAGCCATTTTGAGTATGGCTTCCTTTGTTTTGCATCAAATAAAAAACTAGTAAACAAATTAGACACTATACAAAATACGAATTTAAGAATTATTACCGGCTCCATGAGAACAACTCCTATTGCTTCTTTACAGGCTGAATGTCTTACTCCTCCTATTTTAATTAGGTTTAAATATCTGAAATTTAGGTTTTTATTAAATATTAATTATTTGTCTCATCATCCTCTTTTTTAAAAAGTATTATTTTACTATAATAAATATATATGTCTCCTATATCTAACTCAGCCCCATATATACTCCATGACTTTCATGAAGTGATACAATATGATGAACAATATAATATTCACAAAAGCACACATACTTGTTCTTGTTATAAGGGGAATTATGAAAGTAAATTTAGTGACATACTCATAAACATTGATGAGAAATTGAAAAGAAAAGAAGAGGTTTATGAACTTATATCTACATATGATGAATATCGACAAATTTACACAGATGGTTCAAAAGTAGAAAATAAAGTAGCCTGTGCATTTTACATACCTCATCTGAAAACTGGACGTGGCCTTTCCATTCCTGCATCAGCAAGCATATACACTGCAGAATGTTAATCTGTCTTAATCGCTCTTAAATATATAGAAGAACATCCACATGTATCTAATAAATGGTTACTGATCTCCGATAGCATGAATGTCTTGAAGGCACTGAAGGCAAGAACTTTAGATGCTAAAACGTCTTTCATCATATATGAAATCAAAAGTTTGTTGTGGAAATTGAAAGAAAATAATTTGGAAGTAATTTTTTATCGACTCCGTCACATATTGGTGTACAAGGAAATGAAAGCGCAGATCATTTAGCTAAAAATATAGTCACAGCTGATATTGACAGGATAACTGGTGTTGCAATACCACATACAGATTTATATTCGATTTAAAAGCTACAGTTAAAAGAAGAATGGAAAATGCAATGCAATGCTGTTTTAGAGACATGAAAAGGTCGTTGGTATGCATCAATTAATTCAGAATTAAGTATTCCTTGGTTTTCTCGCGACGAGAGATATCATAGTAGAAAATTTTATACAATAATGTGCAGACTTAGATTTTTCCACTATCGACTGAATGCTCATCTTTCGATGATGAGAATAGTAGCATCTGCAACACACACAACATGCAACTTCTGTGATACAGAAACAGATCAGACTGCAGAACATATAATATTTAACTGCCCAGCGTACGCCATAGAAAGATTGCTACTCATTGAAAAACTTACACAAATTTATGAAAACTCAGAAATTGTCCCGCGTGCCCTACATGATGTTCTTAGGAATACTAAGACATATTTAGCACTTTGCAATTTTATTCATAATACTGTAAAAGCAATACGAAATATGGTACTCCTGTTTTTGTAACTATTGGACTGATAAATCTATATGGATTGAAACTTATAAAGATTATAATATAAAGAAGACTTGACTTTAGCCTTTATGGTTTTTGAAAATATGAAAAATTAAAGAAAATAAAACTTGGCTTCGGCCTTTATGGATTTTGAAGAGTTGGAAAGAAGAAAAATAAGACTTGGTTCCGGCCTTTACATTTCAAAATTCTGCGAATAATAAAAACAACAACATCAACAACATTGTTTCTTGTCAATCATGAATGTTGCCAGGCTAAAAAATAAAGACCTAACACAAACGTATTCAAAAATATCTGCAAGAAAAAATCTGGTGGTAAAAATACTCCCTTTGCCTTACAAAGGGTGGCAGAAATTTAAAGTTTGAGGCACTTTACATACACATAGCTGGGCACACATACACGTACACTGCTCATAGACGTATAAAGTGACCGAAAAACATGGCGGATACTGCGACATGCGCACAAAAAATTAACCCTACGTGGCTAAATTGTTTTCTTTTGCTACTAAAAATATATGTGATGTCGTTAGAGGCCAGTACTTGGGAAAAACAGTAAAAAATCAAAACCTAATATTTTACTAGGAAATCACAGTTTTTTATTTCAGTTCCATATGTGCTACACTGAGTCAACTATAATCTTTAGGCATTGAACTAGAACTGTTGAATTATTTTAGGAACATTTTACTATTTGAATTATGTTGAAGTGTGACTTATAAAATTAAATAAATATATTACAAAATAAAAAAAGTTTTTTAAAAATGCCTGTTGATGAGTTTCGGAACAATATATTTATGTTAT